GGCAGAAAGTGCCACTACTTGGGCCCGCGTTCTCTGCTGCTTAACCAGTGACACAGGTGGAGAAGGGGCTCCATTTCTCCCCACTTTCTGACCTTGGAGAGAGCTTCTTGTCAGCAGAACCTAAGGGACTCTGGGGGCTTGGCTTCCTCCACTGCTTTGCTGGGAAGACACACATGGGGGCTAAGGACAGCAGACGGTGTCTGGCGGGGTGTGAACAGTCTACACTGGGCTCCTATTCACAGAAACAATGTTTCTTTGGCTTTTGCTCCCTCTGCGGTTATGGGGTCTTCAGCTCTATTGCAGATACCCTCCCATCATTGCCTTGGGTCTTTGGGAGTCTCTGAGAACTGGCAAGCACACCCTCTCGGGGACCACAAGCCAACTGATGGGGTCTTCTTTTCTGGGGTCCTGGTTGGTTGTTTCTGCTACTGGGGAATTTTAAAGCTAGTGTTACCCTGGGTGCTGGGACAATTCAGCTGCTGGAGTTTCTGGCACCCTCTAGAGTTGTGTCTGCTGCCATCTAGGGTGCTGCTGCCATCATCCACAGAAGCTATCGGCTCCATTGTGATCTGCCAGCTGGCGGTGACAGCATCGGCCACCAAGGGTGTCTGAGCCACGGCTTTGCCCCCGCAAGGCACCATCACCGCCATCTGCAAAGTCTGAGTGCTCTTGTGGTGCCTGTCGCCACGGGCACTGCACTGGTGTCGACTCCATCACCAGCTCTCTGGATGGTCCCCAAGCCCTTAGTACCAATCCGCCCTCCACTGGCTTGTTTTGGAGACGAGCTGTGCTCATCACCCCAAACTTCTGTGTGCAACCCTGCTTCCTGTGTCAGAGTTTTATTGAAAGAGTGCTCTTTCGGTATTTCTTTTTCCTTTTCATTAGTTCACTTTCCTCTTTCCATTAAAACTGGGTGTCTGGGCGCAGAATAGCACAGCTCTCACCCCTTCCTTCCATCATCCACAACTATTTATTGAGGCCTGGTCTTGCCAGTCCATTCTGAAATACTGGAGAGAAATCAGCAGACAACGTTCTGCATGGCTGTGGAGCTGCGGTGGGGTGGGAAGGCTGGTGCGGAAGAAGACTGTAAACAGGGGAGCTCATAACATCAGGGGTGGGGGTGTCTCAGAGTGGGGTCACAGCACTGTGTGTGTGATATCACAGCAGTTAGCAAGAGCCCGTGATGATGTGATAGTCCAGCTCTGCCTTGGCTGCTGAAATCTTCACCCCAGGTGATGGGCCAGGGCCGGGGCCTCGGGAGGGGATTAGTTCCCGAGGGTGGACTGGAATTAGTGGCCTTCTAAGAAGAGACACCTGGGCACCACCTCTCGGCCATGTGGACATCAACCTCCCTCAAGGCCCTGGCCTGAGAAAGGTTGTCAGAGCAGCCTGGCTGCCTAAGATGGCTTCCTGCCCCTGGGCTGTTGTCTCCCGTGCTGCTACCGCCTAGTCCGACCCTCTCGGGACCCTCCGGTGGCCAGGTCTCTGACACTGCTGCAGACATCCTACTGGTCAGAAGCAATGTCGGACAGCCACAGCCACCGCAGTCACAACTCCAGCCTCTTCTGTGCACCAGACATCCTTCCCAAAGAAACCGTCCAAGGAGGTAGGGGGTGGGGCATTCGGTTTCAGATGAGGTGCAGACAGCAGAGCCTGCAGTGACAGGAGGCAGGCCGGACCCTGCCCTCTGGAGAGACGTGTGGGTGGGGTGAGAGACCTTTTCCTCCAAGTGCTCCTATTGCCTCAGGGAAGCAAACAAGGCCCTCAGCTGAGAGTGAGGAGAAGGAAGAGGAAGGTTTGAGGAAGCTGGGAAATGTGTGGTTACTCAGGAGGGTGGGTCCTAAGAGCCTCCTTGACAACTGAGGAGGATTGAACAGGTGAACTGCCAGCGCAGGTCCAGACTTTTCTGCAGGAGCAGAACAGGAGGAGGATGGGGTTTTGTGAAGAGTGCAATGGAGAGGGAATGACAATGGTGAGGGGATGTAGGTGTGTGGGGGGGAGAGGGGGGGTGACGATGATGATGCTCTTTGGAGCTAAGCCTTCCTGGAAGGGACAAAGTGGGAATGTGAGGTGGGGAGGGACCATGGAAGAGGCAGGACTGGAGGGCTAGGGGTGACTGTCAGGCTCAAGTCTGGGAATGAGGACATTTAAGTCACCCTCCCCCTGTCAGTGGTGTCCGGTTATTGGACCAGGCTTTTCTGTTCCCACAGAACAGGTTGGGGATCCCTCAGGCAAGCGTAATCCTGACACCTCCTCCCCAACCAGGCACAGGGTGCATCTAGGGTCCCAGCCCTGTATTTTGAATCTTGGTCTATCCAACACGAAATTTCAGGTTGCTAGGCTATGTCTACCTTTACCTTTAAGGGATAAAAGAGCCCTCCCTCCCCTCTGTAGCCCTAAATACCTCCTTCCCAGCAAGGTGATTCACCTGAGCTGGCTGTCTTACTTAATCAAGCTATTAAAAACAAACTGCAGTGTAGAAAAAGTACAAGCTCAATTTAAGTGCCAACTCATTGAAAAATTGGCCCTTATAGATTGTAATTAGGAGAGAAAAGCTCACGATGGATCCAAATGGAATACGGGAGCGGGAAGAGGGCATTGGGGGCCATGGGGCCTGGGAAGCCGTGCCCGTGGGTGCTTCTGCTCTTGCAGAGCGTCTTTCCCTCCTTCCATCGTCGTCTTGGCCAGTATCAGCTTCCACTCTCCTGGAGCTGCCCCCACTTTGTGGCCTCTCTACTGAAGCCTCAGGGCCGGGGTGTGTGTGGGGGGTGGTGTTAGGGCAGAACTTAACAGCCGGTGCTGTGAGTGGACCGAGCCTGGAGCCTTCTTGAAACCAGATGATAGATCACGGTGGGTGCCTCGCCTGTCGTCTCTCTCCTCTCCACTTCTGGAACTTTGATCCAAAGGAAAAAAGGCTTCAATGAACGTCAAGGTCAGACTTCAGAAGAAATAGAAAAGAGACATGTGAAATCAACAGGGGTGGGGGGCGTCTCTCATGGGACTCGGCCCCCCTGCAGTCCTGAGGAGCTGGCTCCCCAGCAGCCCCCCACCCTGGAAAGAGAAGACAGCGCTGAAGGAAGCTTGCCTGGGGACACTGCCCTACCCAGAGCTGCTTTAAAATGACTTTCATTCTATAACCATAAGAAAGAAAAAAATCAAAATCAACAAACAACTATGAACCAGAGACACACTTGGGGGGGGGTCAAAATCAGGGGGTTGCAATTGTATGGGGAATATAAAAAATTTTTTTTAAAAATGTAACAAAATAAATAAATAAATAAAATGACTTTCTTACCCCTGCCTGTCTTCACACCCCCTGCCCCCCGGCTCTGAGCAGAGGTGACTATTCCTCAGTTCCTGGGGTTTCATACTTGCAGGGCGTTCTGGTGTCATGGCTGACCCACTAAGGATGGTTGTGAGATATGACAGAGAAGTCCATTTTCCCACACGTCTTTGGTCTTCAATGTAATTTTCACAGGAAAATGAATCCAGCAGGCGTGAAGCACACCTGTAGGCATGAGTGTCAGGTGCTTCTCATTTCTAGGGCTGAGGAGTATGGGGATATTGGTGTGTCTCACTTTCTCCTGGCACAGATCACGCTGTCTCACGCGATGAAATGATGATGAATTGGGGTTTCATAGCATGCCCGAGGATCCCAGGCGGCCTCTTTCTCAGTTCTTACCTTGGATGAGGGAAGAATTCAATGTTGAGACCAAAGATATAGGAAAACGAGAGATGTATTGATAGGTAGGAAGAAGAATAGGAAAGCTCTCTGAGCAGAGAGAAGTCCTGAGTGGGTGGCCACTGGGTGGCCAGAAGTGGGTGTCTATCTGGGTATTGTGGGCAAGGAGTGGGGATTTGGTTGGTGGGTGTGTCTGTGTTGTGTCTCTTGCTAATTGACTGGGCCTGCAGAGTTCTCCCAGGCTAGTGAGGTCCCCTGAGTTTGTCCCTGTTGCCTGGCCTGCCTTTCCAAAACTAACCAGGGCTGTTGCTTTAGCATTGTGTTATTGTTTTGGTGTTCTGGATAAAGTTAGAGTTTACTTTACTGGATTGGGGGGCCACCTTCCTGGCCCATGATTGTTCTCCAATCAGACTTGGGTCCTTGGGGCACCCTATTCCTAACTGACTGCCTGTACCCACTTCCTCACTTCCTCCTTCGGTATCTTTGAGTTTCTCAAGTGGCTGCTTCTCCTGTATCTCGCCAAGGAGGGTCCCCCTCAGAGAAGTGAGGTAGGTGTCTCAGGTCAGACCCCACAGTAGAAAACAAAGTATGTGGGGCTGTAAAGTAAGAGTCCTCCAGATAATTTCTAAATTCCTTGGGTGCCATGTCACCTCCCCACCATCTCTACTCCCAAGGGTGTACTCGGAAATACTCACCAGCAGGCTCTCTGGGGGCAGGACAGGGCCCTGACTTGCAGCATGCCAATACCCTTGGGGTAAATACTTCTACCATGGTCAATTTCAAGTTCTTCAACGTGAGGTCCCTGGACTTGAAGTTGGGAGTCCAGTGCTGGCACCTGTGAGTTGTGAGCTGGCCTGGGCTCACCATCAGCGTTTTGGGGTCAACAGGGCTGCGCTGAGCACTTCATGTCTCCTGCCAGTAAAGCCATGGTGGGATCCAGAGAAATGAAAGCCACAGACAAAAGCTCTGAGGAGTCGGGCAGAGATAACTCCTCTGCGTAATAAAGGAGCGACATTGGGGGAGCTGGCCACCAGGAAGAGAGAGGCTTAGGAAGAAGTAGCAGATGGGGTGTTTGGACAGCAAGCAGGTAAACTCCTATTTGCTCTTTATTGTTTGTGTTCTTAAAGAAGAAAATAAATATCAAAACGTGCTCTGCTATGCATTAAAACTTGTCGTTAGCGTCCTTTCAGATATCTTTGTAAAATCTTCAGATTAATTCTCCACGCAGGGTTTTCTGGGTGGCCATGCTTTGGGGGCTGTCATGAAGTGTTCAGCTCTGCTGGGGGGCTGTCAGGATAAAGTTAGAGTTTACTTTTTTTTTTTTTTTTAAGAATTTTTAAATGTTTAATACAGTTCAAGTCAGCAGGCCCGGCTCACTTCAGCTCCTTTACTGCCAAACCTGGGGGCAGGGACTGCTTCAGCTTCTCTGCCTTCTCTTTGTCCGTGATGACCAGGGTGTACAGGTATCTGCTGCATCGGACTTTAAACTTCACATTATCCTTGTTTTTCTTGATCTTCACGGACTTGGCGTCCTTGCGCCGCGCCGTGAGCAGAAAGTCCTTGATCTCCTCGATTTTGCGCGGCGTGGTTACGGGGCTTGGGGACGGCGCGGCCGGCACAGGCACCGGCGAGCAGCAAGGAGGCCGGAAGAGAAAAAAAGTAGAGTTTACTTTTAAGAGAGCAGCCATGGCCACGTCCATCCAGTGGCGATCTCTTAGTGTATTCAAATCAGTCATCGCTAGCAGGTAAGTGCCATGAGGAGAAGAATTTGTTAATTCTGCCCATTGCTATATCACAACTATCTAGAAAATAATTTGGCCTGTGGAAGGTCCTCAGTCAATAGTTTGAATGTTGTCCAATGGCTTCCCAACATGCCCGTGGTGTTCTAACAGCACCATAGAACTTCCTGCAGTGATGGAAATGCTCTATATTTATACTGGCCAACAGGGGAGCCACCACCCTCTGGAAGTGACCCAATACCTGAAATGTGACTACTGCTATTACCCAGGTGGATTTAAAATTGTATTTCATTTAAATTCACTTCAAACTAAATGGCCACATGTGGCCAATGACTACCTTAACCAAGAGCCCAGCAAACAGCTTTGGGCTCAAGTTGTGGTCTCTGGACCAGAAGCATTGGCATCACCTGGGAACCTGTTAAAATGTAGCAGCCCAAGTTCCAGCCCTGCCCTGCCGAATCTGTATCTGTCCCATGTATTTGTACAGATCTCAAAGCCTGAGAAATCTGTTCTAACCAACTCGGGCACTGTCACATACTGGATTTCACGTGATCCTCATTAAAAGTAAACCTGCATTGTGGCTATCGCTTTTCCCATTCTATAAATGGGGTGATTGAGCCACTGTGTTTTGTTTAAAACCACAGAATGGAGAGTACGTCGCAAGTCCAGCCTTTCTCCTGCTCTATTGTTGCTTCATACTTTGGGTACACAACGGCAGGCTCGTTCCAGGTAATTTCAGCACCACCATTCCTCCCAGGGCTGCTTTTACATGGAATAAGGCCACAGCACTTTACTACTGGGGACCTGAGCTCCATACTCAGTAAGGGCGGTGGAGAAGGGTTGTGGAATGAGTGGAACTGTAGGGAAAGAAAGGGAATTAGCTATTAGCTTCCAGCCTCTTCCTCAAGTCCAGTTGAGTGAGGAGGAATGGCTGACAGGCTAACTTTGCCATAAAATGTGGTCCTCTTATTACTGAGGACCCATTTATATAAACAAAACAAACTGCTGTCATCTGTTTTTCTTTTGTTTATTATTTCATGTAAAAGGATTGCATAGATTTTTTTTTAACAACTTGGAGATTAATATTGGTTGACTTGGTTAATAAACTCCTTTTGAAAGTCCAAGGACTAGGGGCTAGGGAGTTCCCTCAAGAATGATTGAAGTTGCAGTAAAATGACACAAAGAGATGAATGGCAGCCTCAGATTTAAACCCCCAATCCAAAGAAGGTCACCAGGACTGAGACTTTAAATAATAAGACTTGCTTTGTTGTCAAGCTTGCTCCCATGGAGATATCATGTAGGAAATGCAGGTTCATATTAAATAAATACATAAATATTTTTAAAGATGGTAAATGAGTCTCCCAAAGTTGAGAAGTCTGCAGTAAGTGTGTGCTGGTCAGTTGCTGTGTTTTCCCTGGGGTCACTTTCTTTTCAGAGCAACCCATTTCCCGCCCAACCTACTCTACTTTGTTGATTCTCTGTACGATTCACACCCTCAAGTGGAGGTCTTGCAACTAAAAAATAACAGCTAAATCTAGGAGTAGATACCTCTGTTTTTCTCAAATCAGTAGTGAGAAAGAACAAGCAATGGAACAAACAAGTGAGCAAATGAATAGGAAAAAGTAAAATAGTAAGATTCAGTGTTATCAACCAATCGCATTAAGACAGAGATCCCCTCCTCTGGCCCACACCTCCCCCCAGTCACCTCCCTGTTCTCTGGTGTGGACTATGGCTGCCCTTCCCCCCAGGCATCTGAGCCCATGGGGCTCTGCAACCACTGCAGGTTCATCTCTGTGTGTATTCCTGACTCTTCTCTTCACCCTCCCCCTATCCTTGATGATCAAGTCTGTTCTACTCTACCTTATTAATAACTCCATGACATTATTTCTCTTCTTAGGATCATAATTCAGGTCATTATCTTTTCACTTGGGATTCTGCCTCATAACCACCCCTCCCAACTCCAAATTTAATCTCACCCCCTCGTCAACACATCAGTTCTGCAAAATAGAAAGCGAATTGCTGTGGATAATTAAACAAGCATCTCTATCTCCATCATCCATACTTGCCGTATCTGCGTTGTCTTTTATAACATTTGATTACAATTCAAGATAGTATCCCCTTGAGCTCCAACTCCTTATCCCTTCCCGTTCCTCCAGAGGTAATCACCATCATAAATTTGGTATCTATGGTAGATTTTACCAATTGTTCATAATCATCTGTTGCCTCCACATCCTGTTGAACTCCCTGAAGGCAGGCCATAAACATAATATAGTCTGACAGAGCCTGGCTGAGTTGAGCAGAATCAGGCTCAAACTGTAGTCCTCTGGAATCCAAATAAAAAGAAATTCTTGTTAAGTAACCCTCTAAGACACTGAGGTTATTTGTTACACAGCGAAAGCTGACTTAATCAAAATATTTATGTATGTGAAGTTTTACAAAATGAACACAAATGTATCTATTGGGTTCATCTTGAACATCTTGATATACATATATATCCACCAGCAGCATATGGTCCTGTTTGGTGTTGTGTTCCAAGTTTTACACAAAGGACTGCTTTCTGTGTGGAATTTTCTGCATCTTGATTTTTACAGCCAAGTTTTATTTTGAATATCTTGCCATGCGCATACTTATAGCTCTAGATCATTTCCTCCAACAGCGGTCATAGAAATCTTTCAAAATCACATGTTTGGCCCTTTTGCTTCTTTGCCATGAATGACTGATGGGTGAAAGCAGTTGCCCTGGCACTCTCTGCAGTGGGGCGGCAAGCCCTCCCTGGAGGGGACACAGGTCACACGTCACCACAGCTGACCCTGTGCAACACAGCATCCTTCCTCCTAGGTATTTTGGAAGCAGCTTCTTCCGTACTCCTTCAGGCCTTTTTCCAGGAAGATATTTAGAAGACAGCGGGGTGGTCAGAATATGAGCTCGAGCTCCTGTTGTTTCAGCTGCTTTAGAGCTATACCTGATATTCATCGTCTCTCTACTGTCCATCTGGTTTCCTTTCCTCCCTAACCGGCACCTTTGCTGATTGTGATGGTTCACCCCAAGGGGTTTGTGCCCCAGGTCACCGTGCCCTTCTCAGGTTGGACTTTCTGCACTTGTGCATTTGCCATCAAAATAGTGCCAGTAACAAGAGGTGCTCCAGTGGGTCACTTGGGTGTGAACATACTCCTCCTCCTTGTCTCCATTGCACAGCAGCAACCCAAGGTCATGTTGGCATGAACAAAATGAAAACAAATGAAACTTTCATTGTTTCCTGGTCCCAGACTCACATAGCTTGTCCATTAATTTGATTTCCTATTCATTTAAAAATTCTGACTATATTATATGTATGTGTATATAAAAAATGTGTATGTGTATGTATATGTGACAGGCTATAGAAAAATATAAGACACCATGAAAATCATTTTCAAAATCACCATCCAGAGGATCCAGTTTTCCTTTTCCTGGCAGTCTCTTCCTCTATTTCTTTTCTAAAATGAAAAACTATACATATGCACATGTAAACTAGTAATCTGCCTCTTTTTTATATTTTAGATTTATTTATTTATACAAGCACTGGGTACAGTCAGAAGCGCGGGGTGGGGGGTGAGAGAATTCACCAGAGCCAGAGTGGGGAACAGAACAGGCAGACTGACAAAATGCACTGCTGAGGGGAGCAGCGGGCATGGCAGGAGAGGTCTGGGCACCATGTGGGACCCTCACCGGTGGCCAGGGATCAAGCTGGTGCTGCAGAGGCTGCGGGCAGCTTCGCAGCCCAGTGCTCAACTGCTGCGCCACCAGGGAGACCCTGCTCTTTTTCTTAAAAGTGACTTGTGAATATTTCCCAATCCTTCAGTCTTTACACTGTATTCAAAGAAGGGCTAAGGAATCAGACTGTGATTACATCTAGACAGTAATTCTCAAAGCAAATTTTTATATAGACTTTGAAGATGAAATAAAAGGTGGTTTCTCTTTAGGGGAAAAATGTGGCATATAAAATACAGACCATATATAACAAATACTCTAATCATTTCATTTGACATAACAGTCATATTGAGTTTGATGTATATTAGATTAGGGCTGTTACTACAGTTGAGGAAATTGAGATTCAGAAGATCAAATTGCTACAGGGCAACCCAATATAAAAATGGGTTGCCTGACTGTGGGTTCTTACCCGTATGCTTAAAAGAGACTTACACTACCCACATGGTGCAGCAGACCTCTCCTGACTTGCCCGCTGCTCCCCTCAGCAGTGTATTTCAGTCAGTCTGCCTGCTCTGTTCCCCACTCTGTCTCTGGTGAATCCTCTCACCCCCCACACCTCTGGTCTGTACCACAGATCTTATATGTATAAATAAATAAATCTTTTTTTAAAAAAGGGACTTACACTGCAGGCACACACACAAAAGGTTAACAAAGGTTTATTTACAAGGGAAAGGGAAATGAGGAATGTACAACTCAAGGAGAAAAGAGGGAGATAAATTTTTTTTTAAAGATATATTTATTTATTTATACAAGCACTGGGTACAGTCAGAAACATGGGAGGGTGAGAGAATTCACCAGAGCCAGAGCAGGGAACAGGACAGGCAGACTGATGAAATACACTACTGAGGGGAGCAGTGGGCATGACAGGAAAGGTCTGTGCGCCATGTGGGACCCTAGCCCGGCAGGCGGGGATCGAACCGGTGCTGCAGAGGCTGCGGGCAGCTTCGCAACACAGCGCTCAACCGCTGAGCCAACGGGGAGGCCCTGTGATGGCTTTTTAAAGAAAAAAGTCTGGGTGCAGGGTGCATTTGTACATTCTAATTCTCTTATCTAAAACTCAAACAGGTATTGATTAAATTAAAAGACAAGAAGAGAAGATAAGAAATTGACAAGAGATAAATCATTTTGATGAAGACATTTAATTTTACTCACCTTCCATGAATGGGTTGAAAACAACATTTTTAGGGGTCATTTGTGTCTATGCAGTTACCCTCCCAAAGTGTCCTAGCCCAGAAATCCTAAGAGAATTGCAAGGGACTTGTTTCATGCTGTCAAACAATTTGTCATTGTTCCAACCCACTTTTTTTTTTTTAAAGATTTATTTATGCGTACAAGAGCTGGGGCACAGGCCAGGGGTCGGGAGCGGGGGGTGGTGAGAGGATTCACCAGAGACAGAGTGGGGAACAGAAGAGGCAGATTGACCAAAGTACACTGCTGAGGGGAACAGCAGGTGAGACAGGAGAAGTCTGCTGTGCCATGTGGGTCACCTCCCTGGCTGGAGATCGAACGTGTGCTGCAGAGGCTGCAGATTGCTTCATAGGTTGTGTCTTAACCCCTTGCACCACCAGGGAGGCCCTGTTCCAACCCACTTTGGAAGGTTCAGCTCATAGGCTGCAGGGCACAGTTCCAAGTGGCTTTGAAGTAGTGTTGCATTATTTCCATGTCATAAAAATGGACAAGGTCTCTATATGAGGGAACTCACTAGAAAATGAAGTCTGAAAGTCAGTCTTATTAGCAGCCTGAAAGACCTATCTGTGGCCAGGGCATGAGCAAGGAGCACATTTTCCTCACAAGGAATCAAGATGATGGGAGGGATAGAGAAGGAAAGATCAAATGGAGAAACTAGGCAACAAATCTGAGGATTGAGAATCTTTTTGGATTACCTCTAGCAAGTATTTATAGAGTGCATTCTATGTGTCAAATCCTCTCTAGGTCCTCACCCTCTGAATAAAGACTTGTTTAATCCTTACGACAAACCTTTGAGATGGGTGCTATTATCATCATCTTCATTTTAAATTTAAGGAAACAGCAGTTCAGAGAGGTTAAGTGACAAGAGTAAGGTCACACTGCTAAGAGGTAGAGCCAGATTCCAAGTGCAGCTAGGTAGCTCCCTGGGTCATTATTAACATTGCTCAGCACCAAAACAGCAGGACCTTGGTTTTTCCCCATCAGCATCCTGATTGACAGACTCTGGGGATGACCCTGACATTGCCTGCAAGCTGTGACCCTCCTGCCCCTGCCCCAGCACATCGTCCATACCGTGCTATTACCAATGCCTCAACTTCCATCAGTGATATTTCTTTCTGTGGGATAAGCGCTCTGTTCTTCCCAGCATGGTTTATAAAAATGCTGACAAACCTACACGATGCCTATATAGCAGCATCTGAATGTCAAACTTCACCCAATTTTGTGGGAAGGGGTGATGAAAGCACTGAGGGTCTAGGAGGGTATGTAGATACCCAAATGGGTGATGGGAGCTGAAGGTCAATTTTACTGATGTTGCTCTTCTGTCTTGGTGGGTCAGCTCTGGCTAGGACACATTACTTCACGCGTCCATTCATTCCCTACATTTGAGTCCTTAATAGATGGAAGACCTTGCAGCCAGCAAGGAGAATGCCAGGAAGGGGATGTGTGACTCTGGGTCCAAGGGGTGACAGCCCATCAGAGCATCTGGGCTTTGGGCTCCCAGCCCATCTCTGACCCTCCCACTGTTCTTTTATGTGGGGAAATACAGTCTGCGGAAGCAGCGGATGAAAACATGGGGGCTGGAGAAGCTGTTCCAAGAGGCATCTGTGTTACAGGAACTTGGCCCTGACACCCTTCTGTGAAATCCCCGGGGTCCCTTCATAGCCCCTGCGTCTGGGCTCCGCTGAGCCTAATTTAAGACTTGGCGACGGCTGACACTCAGGTCCAGAAATGTGTGTTATCGCCGCCTCTTCTCGGGCAAAACAAAAGGCACATTCAGGTCACAGGGAGCCAGCGCTTCTGTGGAAAGTGAGATTTAAATACAAGCGCGGAAATAGATACTTTGAGAAAGGGCACTTTATTTTTAGAAAAGAAAAGGAATTACGAGAAGATAATGGTTGCCATGGCAACAGCAGAAACCGCATAGATTCTATAGGCTCGACTTCAAACACGATGCAAGGAACAAAATGGGTTCCCCGGCGACTTTTTGAGAAAATACAGACAGAAATAAAAAGGCTGCCCAGAAACAATATCTCACATGTCACAGGCTCGGTACTCTGGAGTCCTGTGTTAACTGAAAACCCATTTTGATGTTTGGTTCTAAATCCATGATGATGAGTCTCCATTTCTTTTTCTTCTCCATTCCCAAGTGTGCTTTACAAGTCAAACAGGGAGCAGCAGACCCAGGAGCATGGCCTTGGAAACCTGTGAGTCTCCCGTTCAGTAGGGAGAGGCTGTAGGCACCCTGGAGGAGGCTTTGGATTTACCTAGTGGGACACAATGAATTGGTGGCTAACATTTGCACATCTGGAGATTGCACATAAAAATACAAATTTTTGCCTTCTCTTGAAAAGTTAGAAAAGGTGACCATTCTGAATCTTCCTTTTCCTGTGGCAAAATTAGCCCCATTTCACTGATGTCTCATGGTGTTCCCTGCTGCCCACACCTCCTCCAATACTGCCTGGTCTCGATGGGCATCTGGGTCTGGAAACCCATTGAGTTATAGTCCACATCCTCTTTCTAGGCCAATGCCTCTCAGACTTTAGACCACATCAGAATTACTGAAGGGCTTGTTAAAACACAGATTGCTTGGGTACCACCTCCAGAGTTTCTGCTTCAGAGAATTTGCATTTCTAACAAGTTCCCAGTGGATGCCCTTACTCCAGGAGAGACCATACTTTGAGAACTTCTGCTCTAGAGTAATGGTTTCTATTCTTTTCCTAGCAAAGACCCCCTTTCTTTTACTTTTTTGATTAAGTTGCTTTTATATTGAATTAGCACTGCACTATAACATCATATAATTCTCAGGCATGTCACTGCAAATCAACGTGAGTACTAGTTTAAATTCACTGCTAAATGTCTAAGTCTACCCTTCTTATCCTTGTTCTCACTGTCTCTATTTATCTGCCCTGCTGCCTTTCTTTGTGGTCACCACCAACTAGTCCTAGAGTACAGAAGTTTACTTTTGTTTTGAAAATCCCCTTTCTTGATGATTTTCCTTAAAGAAACATGTTAAACTTAAGGTGTGAGCAATTTGCATTTGTTGCCATCATCAGAGGAAATGAGACATGTTGGGAGGTAGGGAGGGGGAAATGATGCTCCAGCTACAACAGATGTTGGTTAGACTGCTGTGCTGACACGACAAGACCGGAAGGAGGAAGGGGTGGGAGATGAGGGATACATGAGAAAAGAGTTTAGTGTGAAATCAGTAAGAGGTGGTCCTTGCCTGGGACTCCATCCTTTCGACCTTCAAACCTCAGTGAATTCAACCAGCCCCACAAAATGCATGGCATCAGGGACTGTGTGTGTGGTGCGTATATGTGTGTATCGTATATGTGGTGTGTGCTGCGTGTGTGGTACATGGGGGGTGTGTGTGTGTGCTCGTATGTGAGATGTGTGGTATGTGTATGTGTGGTGTGTGTGTTTCTGTGTTGTGTACATGGTGTGTGCAGTGTGCATGTGGTGTGTGTACGTGGTATGTGGTGTGTGTGTATTTGGTGTGTGTGGTATTGAAGCCGGTGTGTGCTGTTACCATGATTACAGCTGTTGCTGTTCACCCCCATAACCTTAAACTATCATGAGTTCTTATCCCATGAAACCGTAAAAAGGAATTTGTAGACAAGCCCTCAGATAAATAAGAGGAGAGACGCAATCTTTATTTAGAGAGTAAAGAATAGTTTATTTGGAGGAGAAAGAACAAAAGCAAAGACTCCGATGCACTGATGCCAAGGAGGAGAAAAAGATGCCGAATGGGCCTGTCTAGAGGATATTTAAACCTTTCTCTCTGTTCTAAAATATCATCATCCTGCTTTGTGATTGGCTCTTTCTCCTAGAGGCCATACTCCTCCGGGCAGATGTGCCCATTTTCCCAGCTTTTGTCTTAGAGTTTCCCTTTACCTCCCTCTCCAAGTTCTCTTAAACTTTGCTGCCCCCATTAGCCTTAAAGTTTAGCCTTAAAATTTACTGCCCCCATTAGCTCTGCTGGATTTCTGACCTCTGGAGTCTGTTTGGTTAGCACATCTTAGAATTCACTTTTCTTATCTCAGAAGTCTCTGTCTGCCTAATTGGCCTGAACCGAATTAGCCCTAACTTGCCCTAGGACTCAGTATGGGGTGTGTGTGTGTGTGGTGTGTGTGTTTATGTGTGGCATGTGTATGTGTGTGCATGCTATGTGGTATGTGTGTTTCTATGTGGTATGTGGTGTGTGTGTATGTGGGATGTAGGGATGATGTGTGTGCGTTTCTGTGTATATGTTGTGTAAATGGCAACAACGCCTGGATCGAAGTGGAGTCAAAGAAGAGGAAGCAGGGTTGCCAGAGGGCAAGGTCACCACAGTAACCAGATCCCAGGGGTCCACAGATGCCTCAGTGAAGGCGCTGGACCTTCTCCAACAAGAGACCTGAGCCAGGTTTTCTCAGTTCTTGGAGGGGCAGGGAGACCCCAGCCTACTTCTCGGTTCCATCAGGAAAATATCTGTGCTGTGACCTGAATGTGGCCCCGGCTCCCAAATCCATACATTGACATCCCACCTCCAAGGTGATGGTATTAGGAGGTGGAAACCTTGGGAAGTGATTACATCAGGAAGATTAGTGGGGTTCGTGGCCTTGTGAAAGTCCCTCAAGAGCACCCTTGTTCCTTTGTGAGATTGGAGCCAAGAGTAGGCTGCTGGAAAGTGGCTTCCCCAGACACCAAATGGCGCCTGGTCTTCATCCTGGACTCCCCAGGTCCCAGAAATGTGAGACATGAATGTTTGTTGTCTTAAGCCACCCAGGCTATGTATTTTGTTCTAATAGCCTGAACATATGAAAAAAATGTGGGGAGTAATGTTAATTCATTTTGCACATTTTTGATCATCAAAGAGGTACCTAGAGCAAAGACTCCAAGTTGCTGCTCAACATGATTTAACACCTGGACTAATTCCAGACAAAAGCAAGAGCACTTGACCTTTAGATAGTCTGTCAAAGAGGTAAAACACTTTGTTGTCTATTTTTTTTAAATGCCAACGATAGCTCTTGGGATTTCCATGATTTCCTTAGAAGATCTTTGGGAATCTCTGGTGCCTGGAACGCCTCCTGGGGTAGAGGAGGGTCCTGTGACAATGGACCTTTGGAGGGTCATGGCAAATGAATGTTCAAAATGACCATTTTATCTTGATGTTTCCAATATGTTTTGTTATTAATGAGTAAATACAATGATGTATCTAAAAGCATTCTTTGGATGGTAACATATTTAGAAAAATCTTTTCTTTATGGGCCTTGAAAGGTAAGCTTTTTATTTTTATTTTACAGAAAGAAAACTTTACATGAGTGGAAATTCTTTTTTTTTTTCTTTTATATTTTTTTTACATCATTTTTCATTTTTGTACAATGTATGCACTTTCATCTTGGTTAAGTCCCCGTGAAATTCCCACCACCTATTCATCCATGAGCTATCACCATGGTCCCTTGTGCTCTTCCCACCCTTGTTTTGATCCTACTCCCTTCTCCCCCTATAATATGTCTATGGTTTATAGTTGCCTGTTGATTTTGATTTTTACTTTATTATAATTAGTTTTTTTGCCCTGATCCCTTATTTGGATCCCCTACGTTCCTGCTATGAGTGAGACCATCCTGTATTTTTCTTTTTCTTTCTGGCTTATTTAACTGAGCATGATCCCTTCCAGCTCCATCCGTGTTGCTGCAAGTGGCATGAGTTTATCTTTTTTGATTGCTGAGTAATATTCCATTTACATGGGTGGAAATTCTATTGGGGCTGCACCTGAGAAAAGAAAGCAAACATTGTAAAAAAAAATGGAAAAGAATGTAAAATGTATATTAATTAATTAATTTTTTAAAAAAGAAAACTTTGCTCAGGGAGATTTAATAAACTTTCAGAGGTCATTCAGCTGATGACTGGTGGAACTGGGATCTGCTCCCAAATGTGTCCACTCCAATTCTCTGTTGAGCTCCCTGCTTCTCAAAGGAAAGTGGTTGCCTTTCTTATTATTTCTACAGCTTTTGAGAATGACAAATGATATTTTGGTTCTCTTGCAATTGTTCAAAGGTATCCCTTAGCCCCAGAGAAATATCAAAATTTGTTGCACACTCATTCCTGTGTACAAGCCCCAAAGGGGTCTATGAAAATGGCTGTGTCCCCTGCCCTTTGTGATTTTTTTTTTTTCAGTGAACAGTTACAGCAGAACATAGATGTGTTTCGCAAGTAGGAAAGTTCCACTTGCCTCCCAACGAATTGAATCTCAATTTTCCTCAGTGTTAGGAAATGCCAGAATGAAATTCAAATGAGATGGTATGATAATGACTGATTTTGCCTACTCCCCCTTTTCCATGAGCCTCTTTCACAGCTGGGCTCCCTTTATGTGCCCATAAACCAGCTCCTCTTTGCGACATGGGAGTGACTATGAACTGGGAAACAGAACTAAACCAAAAATAGCAGCCAAACCCTCTCAGCTCTGCTGTGCTCTGCACTGGCTGCCATTTTGTTTGAAGGGAGGTGATAAATCTGAGTAGAGGGCAGCTGTTCATTTCTCCTCAGTGGGATGCTCTGGAAGAAGGAATGGAGGAGAATGCTGTCATTTTGCTGTGAGGTTTGTGTGGATGAAGCTCTTTGGCATTGGCATTCTGTTAACAAAAATTCTAGCTGATCCACATTTGGGCCCTAGAATAAACTAATAGACACTTAGACTGTTGATCCTGAGGAAGACTTTGAGGTACACTAATAGTCACTCACCTGGCTTATTTGCCAGCAGTCTCCCCTTTCCCCAGCTCTCCACGTCAAGGTCATTCTCCACAACTGCCAAAGTGACATTTCTAGAATAGAAATCTGAGCAAGTCACATCCTGGTTCAGCTGTTCTTCTAGAAGGTCTTTTATGGCCATACTCCTGTTGACTTCTCTAGTCATGTTCCCCATGTCTTCCTGCTTCCATAGGCTGCGGAGAACCTTGACTAGATCATGCTGTTTCATGCCAGGATAGAATATATGTGTGTGCATGCAAATATTTGCACACTTCATTCGAAGTTACTACATTTAAAATACATTTTTTAAAGCCCAGAGGTGAGAAATTGCCTGACAGGTTTGGAGATTGCTCTGCTTAGACTCCTACCCATCCCCATGACACCCCATTGCATGCAGCATGAATCCCAGATGCTTACAAGGTCCAGCAGAGCCTTTACAATTACCCCCTTGCTGCTTCTCTGATACCATCTCTTT